TTGTGATTTGGATGTGATTAAAATTCAAAGCAGGAATCAATCCCTAGCATTAATCATTTAACTGAGGAGTGCACGCTCAAATTAAAAAGCCCACAGTGTTATTGTTTGATGGGGTAATGTTGGTAAAAGAAATAAAAAGGCAAACATTATCATTATGGGTTATAATCAGAGGTGATGTGTTTCCTGAAAGAATGAAGCAGCAGAGACACAGGGAGGTGGTTGAGGCGGAGGGCGTTTTTTCCAATGCTCTCGCTCAAATACACCCTGCTTGTGCTTCCATGTCGTGCTCTCCAGCTTCAGCTCTTTTCCTTACGTTCACGCCGCTCCTGCGCGGCGGGTGAAACGTCTGCGTTCTCGTTTTTTTTTCTTCTGCGGTTGGTCAACCATCACGACCATTCGGGAGAAGAGGTGAGAAATGGGAAGAGATGAGAGCGAGGGGGAGGAAGAATACTATATGTACACATGTATATACTAATAACAGCTGCAATGATATTAGAACCAATTAATAATTACAATAATGAGTGTACAGATCCGGCCTGATCCATCGGATTCTGTTGTCATATCCTCAAAATGACAAATATGAATTTCATGGTGACATTTGAGATTCCAGGGATTACCACAGAGTCTATGTTATATATTTTGGGAACCTTAAAGTTACAGCGTGTAGAATTTTGTGGTATCTATTGTTGAAGAAACTGTGGTAGCCTTTAGTTGTTATAAAAACATGGCGGCCTCCGTAGAGAGGGTCCCCTCGATGTAAATATAAAGTATTTAAATATAAAGGGTCTTTTCTGGGGTAAATAAAACTACAATTCATACAATTTAGATGAAACAAACTAGTGAAAACATCATGAGGATTATTCTAAATTCAATTACTGCCAATAGTTCCCTTTCACCTAAATCTTACACACTGGACCTTTAAATGTCACAACAACATTTTGTGCCAAACAGCTGATGGTGGGTGCCAGAGACGTCCAGTGTGTGAATGGCTAAAACTGCACTGTAAAGCTTTGAGTAGTCATCAAGAATAGAAAAGCGCTGTATAAATAGACGCCAGTTGTTATATTTGTTAAGTTTCTAAGAAAACTTTGGACAGTAGAGGAGAGCCACTCAAATGGTGACACTAGCTGGAAACGCGTGATGCCGACGCTTGAACAGCATCTTGAGTTTCATCTGATAACTGTTTTATGTGGATTTTCTATTCAAATCCAGCAACAACCATGCATGTCACTCAGTAGCTCGCATCCCTCCTTCAGGGCCTTGTAGCGAAGCAAATAAAACGATGTACCTCATGAAATCATAATCTCACTTGCAGTGTGATGATGGGTTTGATAAAGAGACAGACCAAAATACACCTACCCCCAGTGAAACCACATTTAAATCTGCTCGAAGTTGCACACACTCACAAATATAATTTTAGAAATACTTTATTGATCCCAGGGGGAAATTGTGTTTGCTGCAATTGCGGAGAAATATAGCATATAAGATAAACAAAGATTAATTTCACTTAAAGGTCCAGTGTGTAAGATTTAGGTGAAAGGGAACTATTGGCAGAAATTTAATGGAGAATAATCCTCATGATGTTTTCACTAGTTCGTTTCATCTAAATTGTATGAATTGTAGTTTTTTTTACCCCAGAAAAGGCCCTTTATATTTAAATACTTTATATTTACATGGAGGGGACCCTCTCTACGGAGGCCGCCATGTTTTTTACATTAGTCCAGACTGGACAAACTGAACACCATCTGGAATTAGCCTCTTCCAACAACCTGTGCGTAGTGGTGACACAACAGGAGACTTGACCCAAGACGGGATGATTCCCTCTGATTTAAAATGAACAAATCCAGGTGGACTGCTTTCTAGGAGCCATTTTGTCATGTGAGATGGGTGGTGCACCCTCCCAGTGAGGCTCCATCTGGATAGCGAGAGATAGGTTTTCTACCCCAAGTGTTTCATTTAGGCGAGATAACTACAACGCTCCGATATAAAAGAAAAACATCGAGATAAATCCTCATTATTCAGAGGAATCAAATCCCCATGATACCAAAAGATAACAACAATCTCACTGTTTAATTCCTCAAAGCATTATTGCAAAACACGTTAATCTGATATTGTCTGGTCTTAATTGTACATTTAACTCCTCTTTGTGTTCACAAATCTGCTTGCCAACATTGTCCTCACCATCACCTGCTCCTGTAATCAAATTTATTCTCTCATCACTCCGAGCTGAATTAAACATGAGGTCTATTTGCATCGCCGAGGAAGCGGCGAGTCTCCGAGCAAGTGCAAAAAGCACAGTGTCTGCATCCTATCTCATAACAGACAAAGTGCTTCTCACGGTCAGAGGCCCTCGATATCTTCATCTCCATAAAATCCCCTTTGGTTCAAGTCGAGGTTGCACACTTTGGCAGCAGAATACAAAATGGCATCCAGCAGAATCACTACCATCCGATCCTGGCATTCTTCTGTGCTCCACCATCCTTGGCAATCCAGCCGCGGCCTGCGCTTTGGAGATATGCAGACTTGAGATATGCTTTTGCTTAGTGTTGAGAATAAAGACGTCTATCTTAAGTTCTCCTACCTTGTTCGTGGGGAAGTAGAGATATTTGTCTCAGCCAAGTCTTCAAAAGAAAAGGATTTTCTTAATACTATTAAAATAAAGACATTTGCATGCATGCACAGAACCACTGTTGAGGATTTAAATGCAAACTTTTGGATTATAACCCTTTCTGTCAGACGAATCAATTAAAATACTTGAATCACTGTTGCTTCAGTGGATTTCATGACTATAATACAGAAGCCCCTGTATATGTAACCCCTTACTTTCCTCAGTAAGGTGAGTTCTTGTCTTTCCAAATCCCCTGGAAAAAAATACAAATACCGCTTCCTCACGTCCTTATAGATATGACATTCAGCCAGTATCTTTTGATTCTGCATATCTGGGACAAGATTGAAGAAAATATTCAGGAACAGGCCAATCTGCATTATCTGATGTGCCCCCACGCTTCTCTTTCCACATTCCGTTCTGTAGCCCCGTAGGGCTGCAAAAATAAAAAAGTTTACTATTTAAAATAAGGTCATCTATACAATGTCTTTCCCTGGCTTCCAGTTTTTTTTTTTTTTTTGCCTGTACAGGAGCTGCTTGTCAGAGTGCTGATAAAACCCGGATATAAAACCTGACATTGAAGATGGATGTGTCCCGCAGCCACTCTCGCCTATCAGTCGTGAACACAGCCGAGGACAGGGGCCTGGGAAACGTGTCAGGGAGCTATCTCTGCTGCCGCTCCCCTTGCCCTCTTCACTCACAGGCAGCGTTAAAGTTGAAAAGGTTTGCGGCGAGGATAAAAAAGACTGGCAGAGATGGGAGAGAATGCAAATTTGTTTTTTTTACCCCTTCTGGTAAAAAAAAAAGGCAAACAGGGCGACGCCTCAAGCGCACTTATATGTATTTTTTAATAGGTGTCTGCAGACACACTGAGATGTGAGGACATCGTATGGCTGAGCCATTGAGATTGCCAAATGTCCCAGAGGTGGCTGTTTATAAAGTATGACAAAAAAGCCAGTCTGGAAAAGTGATTTTTGCCATCAGCTGGAAGCCATTATCTTGAAATGGGTGAGAGCGCGCTCAAATGAGAGGAAAGACGCCAAAGCTCAACAACGCAACATGCATCACAAGCCCGGATTTCAATTTCAAAGCAGACGACATGCTGAAAGGCGTTAATGACGCCGCTGTAGACAATATGCACTTTCCAAAACTCTCTATTAATCAAAAAACACTGACTCGAGTGAACATGTTCGATAGCAGCAGTGGCAAGCAGGGCCAAAAAGAGAGCTGGATTTAGAATAAAAGAATTGTGAAATGAAAGTACATGATGAGTTTACCTAAGCTACACAACTTATACTACACTATTGCATTCACATCAGACGGTTTGACGACATCCTGAGTCAGAATAAAGCTAAAAGTTATTTGAATGAAGCCACTTTTTGGTCTGGTGTAACACTTCAATCACAGTAGCACTGTAAGCCACATGCATACACAGATACAGGAACTTCACCTCAGGCCAGGAGAGGGTGAACGATATGTATGACTACAGAGAGATGAGGGTGTGAGCGAGAAAAAAAAAAAAAACAGCTGAGGATATAAACTCGCTCCTTGAGGATGAAGGGCCAGGAAGGCGTAGGGGGGCGGCGGGTGGGGTGAAAATCCGATTTCAGCAGCCTGAGGGAGCCGCGGCACCAGGATCCTCCAGCGGGGCCGCTAAAGCCTGCTCAGCAAGAGGACGGGGGACATGCGAATCGTAGTATGTGCAGAGGCAGACACGAGCAGAGATGAAAGAGTGGAGGGGAAAATCACAGCCTCTGTACTGGATTACACCGAGGAGTAGTGTCGACTCCAAACTGATCCACTGTGTGTGTAAGTGTGTGTGTGTTCCAGGAGCAACGATTAGCATGTAATGTCGTCGTGGATCAAGCAAATAAATGCAAATTTCCCGTAATTTGCTAAATATTTGAAGTAAGGTGAAAAATGAATTGCATGACCAAGAAGACCATCAATTTCCTGCACCTCCAATGCAGCAACTGTAGTCAGTAACTTGAGTAGTGTGAGTATCAACGCTTGAATATTCTGAGAGTACACCACTGAACTGACCTTGGTGTGTATCTACATGACACACACTCACCGCAGGCTGGCGGTGCAGTCGTAGAGAGTAACGAAAAAATGCCATTTGAGATTAATTAAACCTGAACTCAACCCAAGCCTGAGGGTTTTCATAAAACCCAGCGCAACCCAACAATGCATGACGCTCCAGGTCTCACTTGTATAGATAACGTCAACAAAACGCGGGGGGGGGGGGGGGGGGGGGTCAAACGCTCTTGATTAACTTTTTTTAATGCTACAAACTAAAATGCCTCTAGCTCATGTTTAACCTGAATGTCACTGACTCAACGGGAAACGGTAATGTACTGAAAGACAATCAAGGGAAAACGTTTTTGAATGATTCCCAACCACAGCGTGGAGTCATTTTATTTTGGAAATGCACACAGCGAAGACAAAAGTGCTTTTACAGACACGAAGCCGAGTTTTTATTGCGAAAACAATGCAAGGGCGTATAAATGTTTAATTTCTGAATGTGCACTGTGCATGTGTGTGTGTGTGAATTCTTTGTGGTTCTACATTTATGAGCCAAAAGGTTGGGGTCTTTTGGGGATTTTACAGTAGAATGAAGGTGAATGACATTTACATTTTTCGACACGGCACAAATGAAATCTCCGTTCAAATATTTAATCTTTAACTATCTAAATATCTGCACACCCCTAACGCCAATTGACAAAATATATGTGCTCTATCAAAAAAAAAAAAGCTTTCAGTAGGGAGTCCTGAGATAGATTGCCCATAAACCGACCTGAGATCTAACAGCTTAAAGGTCTTATTCAGTGACGTTTTGTCTCATCTGTCAGAAAACGATTGAATGTCATATAAATAGCATTACTATATACTAATAGCGGGGTATAAGGCATGCAGGGCAACAGTCAGCGTGTCGTTCGATTTGATTATCACTGTGGAATAAGGAAGGACTCAGACACAAAGACTTGTTGTGTGGTTTCTGGCTCAGTCGTAAGCCGGCAAGCCAAAGAGCTCCGGCCGAAACTCCTCCATGCTCCTGAGTCGCAGCGTGGCCTCCTGGGTAAGGCTGGGGTCTAGGTTGTCATCGGGAATCATCACCACCTGCATCCCTGCCGCCAGTGCTGCCTTCACGCCGTTGGGAGCGTCTTCAAACACCAAGCACTGAGCAAGGACAAGAGAGAGGAAAAACAAAGTGATATTATCCTATAAGCCTATTAGGTCTACAGGATTCCACCCCTGCAGACGCTGCAGAGCTGAGAGCGAAAACAAACATGGGCAAAATGGGGAACAGGCCACCGTTTCCATTTTCAATGTGATGAACTTGACACTGCTCCGAGCAGCATTGTTTACCCCTGCCAGGTGAAATATCCATTTAATCTACATTTTGAAGAAGGGTGCCCCCTGCAGCCCTGCTTCTTCGGCTTTGTTTACAGTTTTCGGAAATGCTCTTTGACTCCCATACTGTTGTGCATATCAAGAGGCTAAACACACTTTAGGTTGATGAATGAACAATCTTGGGGGGGGGGGGGTTTAAACGATTTTTGCAGGACGCAGGACGACGTGTGAGAATCACCAGTCTACGACAAAACTACGATTTATTTTCGATTCATTACCGGGATGTGTGTGTAGTACATTCTCCCATCCATGGGCACGGAATAGTTTGATAATTAAGTGAAGCCCCCAGATCTCAACCCAGTCAAGATTTTAGATTTTAGACAGCGTCCTCCGTCAGTATCTTTCAGTAGATTGGAGTCCAGAGACTTGGAGAATTAATGCTAAGGATCGCTGAAGCTGTTCTGGTCCCACCATCTCACTAAGAACCTTGGTGTTAGTCAACCATTTAAAAAAAAAAATGTTTTAAATCCAGAAAATTAATATACATATGTTCATATTTGTCACTGTGTTTTAGTGCATCTCAAATATTGACTTAATGTGTTTTTTAATTACATCTTATATTTGTATGCCAATCAATCAAATCAATCAAAATATCACAAATTTAATGAAGTGTATTCTATCATGTTGAGTTAGTAAATTATGAAACTTGTGTTTAATGTATATATCAATGTATACATTTAATTTTATTTAATCAAATCACTCAATGTGGCACTTCATCAAACACGACCATTTATTTCTATTATATTGATCCTGCTGCTCGAGGTGGACAAAGAAGTTTTACCGCTCTACAACTTCTCCCAAAACTGCGTTTCTGTGTTTTCACATCTCAGAGGCGGCAGGTAAACAAGCAAATATCACTGTGTGCGATTTATCATCTCTGTGGAAGATACGCGGTCAGTATGAAAAGTCTACGACAGGACATTATTACACCAGTGTACTTTCAGGAATTCAAGAGTGGGTGTGATTAAGTGAGGTTGGCATCTGAGTAGAGAATTAGCAGTACAGCTATGAGCTACCAGCATAACGTATTGGTATTTTCGGCTGTTTGTATATATAAATAAATCCTACAACCCCTCAGGACCCAACTAAGTTCCTGTACTCTCCCTGCTGTCAGATACTGAGGCTGTAGCAGAACTGACCTAACACATTCTGGTCTGTTGTCCAGTCACAGAGATCAGTCTTGTCACATTAGTGGTTCGACTGACCATCAAAATATTCATTAATATTTTACTATCCTTGGCACACAGGGAGGCAGACCTCAGTATACTCCAGTGTGCATTAGAGTGTACTTTTCCTGAGAACAATAATAATGATAATAATACATTTTATTTGTACTTAACATGGTAAAAACAGTGACAATAAAAACAATAACAACAAGGTAACATTATAGCAGTTAAAAGACAGTTATTTTAAATTAAAAACAATTATATTACAGAAATAAATCACAGATTAAAAGCAGCAATCGTAATAATAATCCCTTATAAAAGGTCTAGGCCTATCGGCGCAGACTTTTACCATTTCACATCCACGTTGGAGAATGCCTGCTCACTAGAGTGGCCAGCCTCGGTGAGTGCACCTGATTAAGATAGACCTGAGAAATTATCAAGCCACCATTGCGGACCAGTGTGTGAAAACAAATGACACTTGATCAGATGAAGTGTATATATTAAGTTTTAGTAGGGTTGGTGCGTAGTTTCTGAAGCATTCAATCCTATTTGTTGAAATCCTCATAGGCATCAATAAATAAAGCAAGTGTCTGTGGCCCTACCAAGGGTTTCTTTGCAAACATACAGTATATATAAACACAAATGTGGTGTTCTATATTTGTGCTTACAAAGGTAAGCTCACATTCTTTGTCTTTTCATTCTGTATCTTGATGAGTTTGTCGAAACAGGTTTTAGTTTTAGACCCCTGTTTAAGCCATAATTACACCACAAAGTGACTTTAGCTTGAATTTGAAATGCCTTTGTTTTCTTCTTTATTACCAACATTGGATAGCGAATTCATTACTGGGTTAAAACACAGCTCCAACCTTTGTGGTTGAGACAGTACTTCAGTGGGAATAAAGGAAACAGCCATAAAATGAGTCTAAAGCCCTGCAGAAGAAAGCAAAAGCTCAAGCCTGAAAGGCCCGAGGACCTTTGTTCATCTCAACTCTAATACTCAGGTAGAATAAAGGGGCCTCCTCAAGTCTCTTTAAATCCTAATTGACTTCTGTGATGTCACTAAGCCTGAAACTGGATGATGTTGAACAATGACAGCGGAAACACTGAGAGTGCACAACAGAGGGCTCCTGCTAATTCCCTTGAATTGGAGCAATTAAAACTAGTAATTACCCAATGAGCTGGTGAAATGACCCTTTAATCTGCTTCCAATGCGCTGTATTGGAATGGATGGACGCACATTGACAGCTCAGGTGGATTATGAATGGACGCGAACATTGCGCACACCTGCACATGCAGGGTTGTGTTGTAAAGACAACCCTGAGTGATAAAATAGGGGGAAAGTTGTGTGGTGGTGCAGGAATGCTGCTGTTCACTGAGTTACTGCACTGCACTACCCGCTGATCACTGGCGATTGGTCAGTGTTGCAAATAGGTGAATATAAACAAGAGCCAGATTATTAGTCACCATTGTTGTCAGTCTATTTCTTTTATTGTGGCTTTTTCGTCGAAGCTCCCTGATCTTTAGATCGGAAAACGATTGCACATCATGTGATACTATATGAAAAAAAACAAAAACTGACCTGTTAGGGTATATACAGTGCACATGCAGGGCATGCATCACCCCTCTGATGCTTTTTATTCACGTTTGATATAAGAGGAGCGCGATCCTGTTGCTGGACTGTCCCAAACGTCAGAACTACTTTCATTTTGAAACTATACAGAGTAGCAACAAAGCTCAGAGTGCTTAAAGGTCCAGTGTGTAAGATTTAGGTGAAAGGGAACTATTGGCAGAAATTTACTGTAGAACAATCCTCATGATGTTTTCACTAGTTCATTTCATCTAAATTGTATGAATTGTAGTTTTCTTTACCCCAGAAAAGACCCTTTATATTGAAATACTTTATATTTACATCGAGGGGACCCTCTCTATGGAGGCCGCCATGTTTTTTTACATTAGTACAGACTGGACAAAAAAACACCTTTTGAGTTTTTATGACAACTGAAGCTACCACAGTTTATCTTTCATATTTGGAAGGAGAGGGTGAGGTGAGGGGTGTTCAGCTGCAACATGCAACTTCAACACTAGATATCACTAAATTCTACACACTGTACCTTTAAATGTTTAACAACTGTTCCTGGTCTCTCTTTCTTCCCCTTCCCACATCTCTCGCTTTTATCCCACCCCTCTCTCCACCCCTACTTCTCTGCTCTCACCACAACCTCATTGAGGAAGATGGCCGCTGCTAGATGTTCCATCCTGTTAAAACGATTTTTTTTTTCAGCATCGCCAAGTGCTTGCTCTTTCTTGGAACATTTGGGTTTCCCTATAATATTCGAAGGACTTGACCTTACTATATAAGGTGCTTTAAGATAGTGTACTTGGTGATTAGGCTCTAAACAATTAAATTAATTGAATTAAATAGGCAAATTAGAGGGAAACAGTGATTAATGTCACATGTTGACATATGGAGTAAGTCTCACAGGGCAATATAAGATGACTGTCCAGAGAGCCATGGCGGTTTGACTGGGTTTTTATCCCTCTTCACCCTGATCTCCATTCATTTTTCTGGATTTCCCCCACTTTTACTTGTTGCTGTATTAAACCACAACAGTCAGAAAACAGTCATAAACTGTCTGAATAATTGATAGGCGTCTTATTTATTCCTCCCAAGAGTAAATGCATCGGTAAGATGTAGTCTATAATCCGGTTAAGTATCAAATTAATGCGCTTTTCCACTGCAGACACTCAAGAATCCATAACCAGGGACTTCCCAGAACCATTAAGAAGCTTGTAATGACTATTGTGGCACTGCTGGAGCTAGTACTAGCCAGTTGGGGGCACCACCATCATCAGTAAGCATGAAATAAGCAAGCATAAATAAGGCACAGATTATTTTTCAGTTCAAAATTATTGTTTGGTTGTGTTATGGGTTTTTGCTGCAGTAATGCTTGTTATCCGCTCTCCCGCCTCGTTATCCAATCAGCACTGCCCTGTAACCTGGAACTTGAATTTATTATTACTCCTTGAGCTGAAAGAAAATTGTAACTTAGTTTCGAGTTGGTGGAGAACAGTGGAAATGAAATCAGAACGTTCTAACCCCCTACCGTGGTAAAAGGTGTTAACTGGCTTTTCCTTCTGTGATAATGGTCGCTGAAGTGCCAGCGAAATTGAAGAGATTCTTTTCAAGCGACAGAAAAGGGGTTTGAGCGACTTTAATCAGTCAAGCAGAAGAAGTAACACGCCGTGGCAGCATTTGTCTGATCCCAGATGAGTGTGTCTAAAGATGTGCTTATTAAACCACAGACGCAGACTGTAAAACAAAGGGACAGTCGCTGATTGACGATGAAGACTAGAAGCTATTATTGAGAGAGATTGAGACGCAGAGATAACAAAAAACATCCACTGTCTCAGCTCACATACAGACACAGTAATCTCTTATTTTGGAAGGCAAACCATGTCTCTGTGATTGGTCAATGCATATTAGGGTTGGGCGATTAGATGAATATATAGTTTATTGGGGATTGGCTGATTGGAGTCCATTGTTTTTTGGGGGGGTTATTGTTCAGGAGAATTTCGGTGGTCTGCCTTTTGTACACTTTA